TGGATCGGAAGATCCTACAGAGTTATGGCCTGGAAAGGCGTATGTGTGGTATGTGGTATTTTGGGGAACCCACTAAGCATTTATGCTTACAGTTGTTATGATATGTGTTTCAGGTGCTAGCGAAGATCGCGGGAAGGCGCCGGCATGATTCGTACACACTTACGGAGTTTATGTTATTGAGATTCTGGGACATGTTTTGTTATGACACAGTGAATACATTATGTTTTATGATTATCGTGTGATTGAAAGTATGATAAAAAAATGAAAAATTGTTTTGAAAAATTACGTCGTTACAACGTATTTCAGTAATATAGGGTTCAATAAACGTACAAGAACAGCCACAAGGGTGACCCGTGGTTCACCACAGCCCACCCACTAGTTATATACTAAATAAAGAGTAAAAAATCATGTGCACAAATGATATACCATTATTTTTCATTCTTATATACAAACCAAACATAATATGATAATTAAACATAATGTAATAATACATTTGCACCATCACATCTCTCATTTCACATATGACTTTCTCATGATTATTTAAACGTCACGAATCAATGACTTTGATACGCTCAATATATGTTAAATAAAATAATAATATCATATGTGAATTTTTCACATGTTATGCTTTTAAAAACAATATTCAAACCTCACTTTTGTGTATTAATCTCAAATTCTCAATATGCATACAAAAAGATTACCGTGTGCTCGGCATCAAGTTTTTGAAAACTTTTAGAACTTAAAAAAAGAACACAAATTAAATAATAATAAAAAAAGTCTACGAAAATACGAGTTAGTTTTTATAAGTAAGTTTACACTTTTTAAAAGCGTCATGTTACTTTTAAGTAACTTCATGCTACACAAACAAAAACTACATCTTACAACTGCCCTAAATCTAGTCGATATGCATAACAATTGCATTACCCTCTCTCTACACAATAGGTCATTTGAACATCAAAAAAAACTGCTCTAACCTCTCAACTCAATCAAAAAAACTTTTTATTCACTTAGGAGAAATGAACACAGAATCCACACATAGTCCACCTTTAGTGTGTGTACAATCAATCTGCATCATAGAAAACTTCACCTTCATTGCAACCTTGGAATCCTCCGCAACAACAAAGCTACCAACATGATAAAACTTCCAATTCCCAGGTGACGTCAGATAGCATTCATTCATCGATTTTTGACCATCGGAAGTGGAGAGCTGGAATCTCACCGGCTTTTTCTCCCATCCGTGAATCTGTTCACAGTCACACACCCGCTGGCCAAACCGCCTGCCTGACCGCCCGAGCTGGAGGCGGAAGTAGAGGTTGTAGGTGCCCGCCGGGAATGGGAACTCAACCTCTCCGTCAACTTCAAACCACCAAATTTGTTGCAGATATGCGACAGATTTGAATCTGAATCCAAGAAAACAACAAAGAAGTGTAAGTTTTGTGTAATGCAAGAGTTGTTTGTACTTTATGCATCATGAATTGTTGTTAATGAAAGAGATGCAATGTTTTACCTGGATTCATCGGTGGAAATTCGACTCCAGTATCGGCGATCATCAATGCCGGTGATTGATAATCCGTTGAATGATATTGAAAGAGAAGGTCTTCCTGTTCCTTTGTGTAACCAAACTTTCTGCAAAAATTCAAATAAATTATCAAACTTTGAATCTTGTTATGTGAAAAGTGGAAACTCTTTGTTCCTCAAAAACCCAAATCAGTAGAAAGCATATAAGTATATAACATCTTCTATCATGTTCAAGATTTCATACTAAGTAACAGATTTCATAAACCAACAACACAAAGAATTCTATTTAAGATAACTCCTGGTTATCTTCTTTTTAGGTCAAAACATTTTGTTGATCATAAACCAAGAGAAAAGAATTTTATTTAGATGATTAAATATTTGATTGAAAAGATTATGAGTTAGAATTTGATGTTTATTCATTTCTAATTGCAAACAAACGTATTGATCCCTTACCTTTGTGCCTCCATCAATGGAATTAGGTCGAGATAATCTGGCGTAAATATCCCTTTTGCACAAATTCGAAGGGAATTCATTACCATCACCAAATACCCTGGATATAATAGAATCATAATTCTCTGGCAATTTCGATTCCCATACGAAATCAGCCGACGAGGCGCCACGAAACGCACGATTAAGGGCGGCGAGTCTGCAGATTTCTTGTGGGTTTAAGTGTACAAGAACAGAACCCACCACACTTTCCGGCAAATCGCCGAGGTTGGTTTCCGGCGGCACCGCCGGAGCAGAGGGTGCGCTGGACAAAACAAGAAAAGACGAAAAACCAGATCCCATAGGAACAACACGAACCTCAAAGAATTTGGGTATTGTTTTCTTCTCTGGATTTGATTGAGATTTGGGGAAAACTGAAAGGGGTTTACAGGGAAAGAAACTGAAAAATGAAGAGAGGGGAAACAGATGATGAATTAAGGGTTTATTTATAGCTGTTGAATGTGGATGGTCGGAGATTTTAACTTTTGGTTTTGTATAATCCAAATGGATTAAGATATCAAGTTCAGGATAATAGATTTTTGTAAGGATTTGTTGGATAATTTCTTTCAATATAGCGAGCGTCGACCACATAAAAATAGTAGTATTTTGTGTGTGTATAAATTACAGAAATGATCCCTCTATTATATTGCAAATCACATTTCAGGCCCATATTACAAAAAACAAGTACCATATTATGGTTTCAATTTCTTGCATCGACTGTTTTTCTCACAAACGTCATCCATGTTAATCCGTTTTGGCTTCGCGTGCCCCTCATCCGAGGCATTTTTATATTTTCTTTTTATCTCTCTCAAAGAAACTCATATTCGATGTTTGAAAAAATCTTTGAAAATAAACGTTTCATATTTTTTTGTAAAATAATACTAGTATCATTTAAAGAAAGATCTTGCCGAAGACAGTCCCATGAGGTCATTTCCTTAAAAGTTCAAAATATTTTAATTTGTCTGGACATACTATGATGCAACAAAATAACTAGAGACAACAGTAAAGAAAACTTACATACATTTTACATCTTATTTACATCATCTTATAAATTTCGAAATACTAAAATACATGTTGGTCTTCAACCAAGTATTCCAATATGTATTAATACATATCCAAATACAAATTTTAGATTTGGAAAACCTAGTGAATATTTTCGCTGATATGTCCGGCGTGTGAATGTGTTACTGAAACAACATGCCATCAGTTTTTTCTGAAACAATATGTCATCGGTTTTTTCTATGTGAAGTAGCGGAAGAAGTTTGCAAGTTGGTGGCTCGATGGTGTAATGTGGTGTTTTCGTTGTCGGGGTATATATCAGAATGTCTTTCTTGGGTGGATGATGCCCATAGAACAATGGTGGAAAAACAATGTTTTGAAGTGATTATCTTGACAACAGTTTTGGATGTAATGGAGACATAGGAATTCGGTCTTGTTTGATAACAATCTGATTCATAGAAAAGCTATTTTTGATTTCATAGTTTTAAATTCTTTTAATTTGGTAAATAATAGAGCTTTCAAAATAAATGTTAGTTGGAATGCTTGGTTACAGTCTCCTTTGTAATTGATTTATTGGTTTATTTTTTATTCTAGTTTCTTGTTAGATTCCATTGAATATATAAATTTTTAGTTGTTCAAAAAAAAAATCCAAGTTAAATATATATGTTAAAGATTATAAGTCAGAGAAAAAGCATCTTGTATATAAGCATTTGCAAAACAACAACAAACTTATCAATAATGAGTCCACAATTTGCCATCCCAGTCCACAATTCCAAATTAGGTACTAGTTTGCCATCCCAGTCAACAATTCCAAATTAGGTACTAGTTTGCCATCCCTTTCTTTAAATTTTCAAAATTGAGACTAAACATGTAGAAATATGTATATTATAGGGATGAAAACTGTAATTACGAAAAGTGTATTCAGAACTTTAAATGGTGTGGAAATAGTTAATGGAACAAAACAAAAGTCATAAAAGGTAGTAGAAGAAAACGTGTGTATGAGTCAGCTCCTATCTGACCAAGAGAATACCGTGGTTTAGCTTTGTTGGAACATGTGGCGCCATGTCATCTTGTTCTCTTTCTTTCGTTAGTTTTTAAGAGAATCTTCTACATGATAAGTACTTTCTTGATCTTTAGTACTACCACTCATGCCAACCTTTATAAACTTATTAAGTATGTTTTATTTGGGTTTTATTTATAATTATGTATAAGGCTAACTGCACAAAAGATCTAATATTTTATCTTTTGATTTAAATTTAAATTTGTAAATTTTTTCAAGAGAACTTCGGTTTGATAAATTTAGTTAGTGTCTACGTTAATTTATTTTAACTATTCAAAGACCCAATATTTTCTTGGACTTTTATATTTAAACCTAGTATGATGAGTTTATTGTGCATGGGTGATGAAGTAGGTTCATCGCAACAATAAAATCAAGTTTGTGTATGTAGCTATTTGGAATAATGTATGTTTAGATATGATACTATGAGTTATTGTATGTAACGTATCATTTTTATAAATAAATTTTTTATTTTTATAATTAAGGTAAAATAACATTTTCATAAAAACTCGAGTCAAGAAAACTCATTTGTTCCAAAATACAATTGTTTGAAAACCAAAGTAATATAATAAATGCGGAATCTCCAATGTTGTTGATTAGTGTGTACATTTACATATTTGTCTTCCCACGAGTATCAATGATACCTGAAAAACATCTAATCCACAACTATAAATCAAAGTTTAGTGAGTTCCTCCAAAATACCACACTCCACAATATACATACAATGCATGCACAACATGCATGAAACGCCTCGCAAGGCCTATATGTAACACCCGTTTCCTGGTATGGTTCTTCCGAAATTAATTTCATTACAAATAAGTTTTGAGATTTTGGCTTGTCCATGACGTGGTGATGGAATGACAATGACATGGCATCCCGGTTCAGAAAGTGTGCATTCGCGAACCACCACGACATGGCAAGGACTTGGCCACAATGTGGTGGCGATGGAGTTCAAAACCCTATATTCTGGAATTAATACCCTATTTAAAAGGCACTAACTCCTAGGACTGCCTCATTTGGCAGCCTCCATCTTTTGAAATCGACCCCCACCCAAACCCTAGCCTACTTGTGTGTCTTTTGAGTGTGTGTAGTCATTTCTATGAAACTTGAAGGAAGAAGGAGTTCATCTTGTGGTTTGTAAGCTTGGTTCCAGCTTAGATCCATCATCTTCATCTCATTTCAGACCTTATGGAGGTATAAAGTCTCAACATTTCTCATTACATTTCTAGATCTTGTTCTAGGTCATTTTATGAGATTTTTTATCCAAATCTTCTTGTCCTTGGAGTTTGAGTGAACTCTAGAGCCTTTGAGTACATTATTTACCTTCTAGACCACGATGTTGGTTGGAAAGTGGTATTGCATGACTTAGTTTGGTGTACATGCATTTGGTGTAACCATTAAGAGCTTAGGATTTTAAGATGACTTAATGGATAAAGTTGGAAACTTTATCCATCAAGACCTTGAGGAGGTTTAGATATTAGATTTGGAACTCTTGGGATAAAGGGGTAAGAGCTTGATCCATTAAGTTGTTTCTGTTCAGTTGCCACGACATGGTGGCATGCTTGCCACGACGTGGTGGCTGGTCTGGTTGCGATTTCTTTATCGTGAAGCTTCCATGACATGGCCAATGGGTGGCCACGACGTGGAGGTCTATTGGAAAGACTTTGACCATTGACTTTTTGACCTGGTTGACTTTTGGTCAAATGGCTAGCTTAGATTATAGACTAAGGGTTAACCTTGATTATTTCGATAGGTCGGTTGTAGAACCAGTTTCTTGTCAGTTTAAGTTGTTGTTGATCGATTCGAGGGTGAGGTGAGTTTGCTCACTATACTATGTATGATACACTCTAAATTTTCAAACAAAATTTTCATTTTTTTTAAATCACATAAAACCCAATATCACATTTCTCAAAAACCACAATGTATAAATTGTCAAAACACAAATCAACAATTATTTGATAATATCCCAGAATCCTCAAAAAACATAAACTCTAACTAGTGTGTACAATCAAGTCGGCGCCTTCCCGCGATCCTGAGAAGTACCTGAAACACATATCACACAACACTGTAAGCCCAAAGCTTAGTGAGTTCCCCAAAATACCACACGCAAATAATTAGCCTCTCATGGCTATATCTCGATAAGGACCCTCTGGTCATTGTGTCTCAGTGAAGACCCTCCGGTCTCACAACTCTGTTTGGACCCTTTGGTCCTAACTCATCAAGGCACAACAATAATATACAACACATATCACAAAGACAAATGCAGAATATCAAATGACTCAGTATAAGCATATAAGACCCTCCGGTCACACAATATCACCACTCAGTTAAGTATAGTGAGAAGACTCACCTCGAAAGTAAGCAAGTAGGTCTCGCACTCGATGAACGGTCTAGACTCCGCCTACATATCATAATCATCTCTAATTAACACATAATAATAACAACTCTAAAATGTTAGGCTACTCCTTTTCTAACTCTCGGAAAGGGTGAAAGACCATTTTACCCGTCCATGGTCTCCATAACTCATGTCTTGACCAAACCTAAAAAGTCAACAGTCAAAGCTGACCCAACTCGTCGAGTGCAACTCATGGACTCGTCGAGTTCCTCAGTACTCAGTAAATCACGAAACCCGTGTCAAATCGCCGAGTTGCTAGCCAACTCGTAGAGTCCATGCAGAGTCCAGAAGATCGGGGAAAAACCCTAGCCACTCGTCGAGTTGTCCCACCAACTCGTCGAGTTCACTCTAAATCCAAAAACGGGGAAAACTCAACTCAACTCGTCGAGTTGGATGCCCAACTCGTCGAGTTTATCACCCCTTTCTCATTAAACTCATTCCAGTCGATTCTAATGCTCCAAACTCCAGATCCAACCACCTAGGATGAAGTTACCACGTAAAGTTGCTAACTTTACGATCATGCAAGGCCTCACAAGGCTATATCACTCAAAACTAAGCTCAAGAAGGGGTTTAGGACATGAAGATGTTGGATTAGGTGTCTAAGTTCGTAACTATTTCTGGAATGTACTTGACCCGATTAACATGATCCATTTGGGTTGCATGGCATCATGCATTTGGATAGACTAAAATGAGAGAAATAACACTTAAGGTTTATTAATATATTATAAGTACTAATATATTAATAATATTATTTAATTAGTATTGATCAAGAATTAATTTGGAATTAATTAAGCGATCAAAAGGAGACTAATTAAATATATGGGTTGATTGTGTAAATCATCCATACTTGTATAGTGGGCTAATGCTCCATGGTTTATCAAGTTGGGCTAAAACCCATAGGATGCTCCATGGTGTGTTTGAACCCATGGATCCTGGAAATGAAATGTCATGACAATTAGGGTTTACAT